TGCAGGCAGCTTGGGTGGGGTTGTAAATCAGATGAGGCAGAGTCTTAGGGAATCACCAGGGTGGAACAAACAAAAATGGCTGCCAGTCAGCCCTGTATATTTCTCCTTTTTGTACTGGGTTTGGAATTGCCTAGATGAGGTCCAGTTATGAAGCAAGGCAGGCTGGTGTTGGTCCCAGGTCTTGGGCCTTTTATTGATAGGTTTGGGGCTCCCTGTCCCAGCTGCAGCTTGTTTGAGATTTTTCAAGGACATGCCCTTCATATGCAAAAGCCACTGCAGGCAGCTTGGGTGGGGTTGTAAATCAGATGAGGCAGAGTCTTAGGGAATCACCAGGGTGGAACAAACAAAAATGGCTGCCAGTCAGCCCTGTGATGGAGAAGTCTCAGCACGAACAATGATCCCTGCAAGTACCTCCATCTGGGAGAAAGCTGCCCCCCAAGTTCCTGCCCTGATGCCAGACAAATGTGTCCCCCAGAGTCTCACCCTGGTGCTGGAGCTCAGAAGAAGCAGGACCTTGTAAGTTCACTTTGTGGTGCTGGCCTTTTAAGAGGAACAGCTGGATCTCCAGCAGCCTCTGTGTCACTGACCTCCAATCCACACTGGTTTTTACAGTCTGTATTTTCAGGGACTTCTTTTCCCAGCTCTGGGACCTTGGGCTGGGGGTCTGGTGTGAAGCCCTTTGCTCCTCCGGGCAGCCTCCACAGAGACAATCTCCATACTGATTAAAAAAGCAGCACATGTGGGTACCAGACCAGCGCATTCTGCACCTCCACACCTCCTACCAGTCTCAGTGTGCTCTCTTCTTTACTTCTCTAGTTGCAGGACTTCCACTCAGCCAGCTTTCTGGTAGTTCTGGATGATGTTTGTTCTGTATTTTAGTTGAAGTTTTGATGTGGTAATGGGAGGCAGCAAGTACAGCTGTTTACCTATGCTAATGGGAGCTGTTTACCTATGCCACTATTTTGGTTCCCTCCTAAACTTTACATTTTTAAGTTATTTTAATGAATTTTAAGTTGCCATGGATGGCATGACACCTATAAGCAATAGAAAAACACCAAAAAAGATGTCTCAAATGTGACTTATTAGCTGTCAACTCAAATTAAATACTAATAAAGTAGCAGAAATCTGAAGTGGTTTAACAGTATTGGCTAACTTATTCTTAAGTTTATTAATTGCAATATTTCTGTCATTTATCTGTTTTTATTGAATGGGTATTCTCCTGGTTAAGGATTTCCTATTTCCTGGCATGTCTAATATTGTTTTCTTGTATGTTGGATATTGTAATGTTGGATATTATTGGATGTCTGATTGTGTTATAATTCTTTAAAGAATGTAGGATTTTGTGTTTGTGGCATTTATGTTACTTGTAAATGAGCTTGATCTTTTTGAGGCTTGCTTTTAAATATTGTTGGAGTGGATCTAGAGGAACCTTTATTGCAAGGCTATTTTAGCATCAATGTCTAGGTATGAAACTTCTTAGGTTTTTGCTGAACACCCATTGCAGTCATTAAGGCCTCTGTGTTTGATTGGTCAGAACTTGAGTAACTCTCCATTCTGCGTGAGCTCTAAGAATTGTTTAACATACAGCTTGTAGTAGGTAGAATTCTAAAATGACACTCAGTGACATTCACCTTTGTATAATCCCCTCCGACTTGGTTTTAGAAAATCTTGTGAATACCATCACTTCTGTAATTATATTACTTTATTTGGCAAAATGAAAAGTCCAAGGTGTGCCTGACTTCATCAGGTATACCTTTAAAAAAAAAGAGAGAGAGATTTATCTGGCTGATTGCAGAAGTAAAGTCCAATATATGAAAAGATTAATTATTTATTTAGTTAAAATGTCTAGTTGTTTATTGTGGGAAAGCAAATCTAATACTATTTACTTGATCATGGAATTTTAAAATTTATTTACTTTAATTTGCTGCTCACTAGATTCTTATATTAATAGCCAGTTGTAAAGTAGGGGAAACTTAAACCAGTCAGAGAAAGACAGGTATCACATGATCTCACTCATATGTGGAATCTAATAAACAAAATAAACTAATGAACAAAATAAATCCAGAGGCATAGAAGCATGGAATAGACCAGCCGTGGGCAACCTACGGCCCGTGGGCCATATCCAGCCCGTTTGAAATGAATAAAACTAAAAAAAAAAAAGACCATACCCTTTTATGTAATGATGGTTACTTTGAATTTATATTAGTTCAAACAAACACTCCATCCATGCTTTTGTTCCGGCCCCGTCGGTCCAGTTTAAGAACCCATTGTGGCCCTCGAGTCAAAAAGTTTGCCTACCCCTGGAATAGAGGGAAGGCAAGGTGTGGGAGGTGGGAGAGGGGGAGATTAACCAAAGAATTGTATGCATACATGCATAACTCAAGGACACAGACAATAGTGTGGTGAAGGCCTGGGGGAGGGGTGAAAGTGTGGAGGGAATCAATAGGGGGGAATTGGGGACATCTGTAATACTTCCAACAATAAGATAATTTTTTTTAAAAAAGTAGGGGAAACTGAGTTGAATGGAAAGGAATTGAAAAACACTACCCAACTATTCCCGAAAAGTATAAAAACCACTCTTTTTTACTTCTTATTTTTAAGTTATGTGGAAATATTTTAATGAATTATATGGAGAATAAATAATGAACTTCTATATACCCTATAATCAACTTAAATAAAATATGATCATTACAGTTGAAGCCCTTGTGTCCTTTTGCCATATTTATCCTCTTTGTCGACATACCTGAATTCAGTGTTACTAATTCCCATGCATTACAGCATATTTTACTTCATATACATGTGTCCTTAAAATTATCTTTGCATTTTTTGAAATACATTTTAACTTCAAAATATAGCTTTTTTTCTAGTTTTCTTGTTTTTTGTTTTTGTTTAATGTTTTGTTGTAAAAAAAAAATTGGTAAGAGCTTAGAATTCCATTGTATGAATATAGCACAATTTATTTATCCTCAATTATTAAGAGACATTTAAATTGTTTCATCTTTTTTGAAGCAATGAATGCTGAAACTGACTTTCATAAAGATGTGACTAGTACATCTGTAGGGAATATCTTTCATAGCAAAGTCTGTAGATAATAAGAGTATGTACATCTTTAAATGACTAAATATTGACAATTGTTCTTCAAAGTTGTCCTAATTTGCATTCCCACCATAGGCTTCTGGTTGTTCCACATCCTTATAATCCTTAGTACTGTCAGAATTAAACTGTGAATAATTACATCGGTGAGAAATACAATCCCATTATGCTCTAAATTTGCATTTCTCTGGTTATTGATTAGGCAGGACACCTTTTAATATGTTCACTGGCCAGATTAGCATGTATATTATTATTATTCCTGAGTATGACCACTTCAGTTTCTCAAACCCTATTTGGGTTGACATAAAGATCTAACATCTAAAGTCATAATATATGCTATGGAAAATGTTCCCAAGTATAAAATTATTCCCTGAGTCATTTAAGTCATTTCTTGTCATCACAATATGAACTTGCCAACCCTCCAGTTGTGCCATGCTCAGTTGTGTAAGTCTTAGCTTCTCCTACTCTGGTTTCTCTGGTTCTAGAAAGAAAACAATAAGCCTTAAGTCATTGAAGCTGAAAGAGAAGGTAAGTTATTAGGAAGAATATAACATTACTCTGACAAACTTGGCTAATAATAACAGGATTTGGTGTTATCCAATGAGCCCAGGGTATTATATATAAACGTACTGAACGACTTTTGTTTATTTAACGCAGCCTGATGGTGAAGTTTCCATTACAGGGAATTTTCAAAATGGCTTCTATAAAACTTTGAACAGAGTGAGGAACAATGTGAGTGTGGCAGTGCTGTGCTAAGGGGGTAGAACCAGGTAATTCTGAGGGCCCTTCTTCCATTTGTTCTGTGTCTCAGTGGGGAACCCATCCACAGAGCTGTCACAGGTTCTTCCACAGCCAACATGGAAATTTACCCAAGAAATTATGTTTTCTAAACAGGTAATTAATAAAATTGTATCTTTTACAAATAAATATATCATCAGAAAATTATTTCTCATAGAAGAAACCAGAATAATACTCCTGAATCTTTTGTTGGTGTTAAATGGGCCTGATGTTGAGCTCAGGGAATATATTTCCTGCCCTTTCCATAATTTGAATTATCATTGCCAAGCTGTGTTACAGTATGTTGCCTGCCTCCACTCATAGCTTTGGATCATTAATGCATTTACACCCACTTTAAGAATTTCACAAATAGTTATTGGGCTATAGCATTTCAGTGTTCTTTCTCTGTGATAGTACAAGTAAAATAGTTAAGGTAAGTAATTCAGGTTGTAATTGATTTGAGAAAGTACAGTTAGTTGGTTACTTTATTTGGTGACAATGTTGAATCTAAGTTTACAGTGTTTGTAAAGATGTTAGTTCATAAAAACTGAAAACCTGAGAAGGAAGTCATCTACTTCAAGTTTGACAACAAAAATTTGCTCTACACCAGTCTTGATTGGTGCATTCAATTGATTTATCTACAACTCATACACTAGATGCTTTCTACCACTCCAGTTGATAAAAAATTCTAAGTCTGACAGATAAAGCACAGGAAGGTTTCTTCACAGTCAGACTGAGTTGTCTCATTTATTATTCAGAATACCCTGATCCTTTTCTTTGCACGTCTTAGATGTTTGTTAAACCTCACTAGTCGATATAACTAGACCACATGTGTTCTATTTTAAATTAATGGACATGTCATTTTGATAATTGATGTTGCTTTCTGTTGAACTGTGTGTGTGCATGCATGTTTTGCATTTGTCCTTAGGTGAGCAAAAACGGAAGTGATGGTTGTAAGATGAATTTTCTCAGCTTTCTTTCTCTTTTGTTATGTTTACGGCCAGCTTTTTAAATGTGCTTCTGATTCTCTCTTATCATGTGTTGTTTTGCAAACGTGTAGCTTATTTGCTGTTGTACAGCCTGGGTCGCTGTAGAGCCAATGGACTAACAACAGCTGTTGTCTCCTCCAGGTGATACAGGCTGTCTTCTTTGGCATCTGTGTGCTGACTGATCTTTCCAGTCTTCTGACGAGAGGAAGTGGGAACCAAGAACAAGAGCGGCAACTCAAGAAGCTCATCTCTCTTCGGGACTGGATGCTAGCTGTGTTGGCCTTTCCTGTTGGGGTTGTGAGTATGATGTAGAATCCATTTATTCACAAAAGCAACTTGGGTCTTACTTCATACTCCTAAGAAAAAAAGGGGGTTCACTATAGGAGATTGAAATATTAGTTTGCTATAACTGCCATCACAAGCACCACAGATTGGGTGGCTTAAACAACAGAATTTATTTTCTCCTGGTCCTGGGGGCTAGAAGTCTGAGATCAAAGTGTTGGCAAGGTTGATTTCTTCTGATGCCTCTCTCCTTGGCTTATAAGTGGACTACTTCTCCATATGTTTTCACATGGTCTTCCCTCTATTTATCTATGTCATACTCTCCTCTTCTTATACAGACACATATTGGATTAGGGTCCCCCACTGACCTCATTTAATTTTTTTAAAAAATTTTACTTATTTATTTTTATTGTTTATAGTATTATAAATAGTAGTACATATGTATCCTTTTCCCCCTATTGACCCCCCCAACCCCCAGGGCCTGTTTAGTACTTGGATGGGAGACCTCATTTAATCTTAATTTTCTCTTTAAAGGCCTTACCTCTAAGTACAGTCTGAGGTACTATGAGGTCAGGACTTCAGCATATGAATTTTTTTGGGGGGAACGCACTTCCACAGTTTCTTAAGCTGCTCAAATTTCAAGTGTGTGGTCCTTGGGTCTGTGATCATTCTAGTATTTTTGAACATGAGAAAGATGAAATCATCATTAAATCATCATTAACTCATACTTCTTCAGTTATCCAGCTGTGCCATTAGCTAATATCTCCTAAATAAATGTTGCTTAATGTTTGGGTCTGTCCTGGACATGTTTGAGTCTGTTGGAAACATAAACCAAGTTTCTTTAAAGGGCCAGGGACCCAAAAGATTCTATAGATGTTTTTTACCCATGTATACCCAGGGGAAGAATGAGAGTACTCATAAACTTCAAATTGTGAGTCAAGTGAAAGTCTATTACCTAATTTAAATTCAGATTTTTCATTTGCCAGCTGACTTCTGGGAATAACAGATACCCATGTGACCCGGGCTAGCACATGTACCACATTCAAGGTTCAGTGTAGTCAAAGTCAGAAAGTTGTTTTTAAATCCTTCCAATGACTCTTCTGCACATTTTTCAGATCTATACAAATAGCTGGTGGAAGCCTCTACATGCTTGCTCTAAGACCCATTAGTAAGTGCCCAGACTATCACGACTTCTGGGAATAGCAGACACCCGTGTGACCCGAGCTAGCACATGTACCACATTCAAGGTTCAGTGTAGTCAAAGTCAGAAAGTTGTTTTTAAATCCTTCCAATGACTCTTCTGCACATTTTTCAGATCTATACAAATAGCTGGTGGAAGCCTCTACATGCTTGCTCTAAGACCCATTAGTAAGTGCCCAGACTATCACTGACTTGCTTTTTGATGTACTGAGTCATTATGTTCTTGTATAAAATATCCCGTAGCTCTTGACAACAATACAAGGAGTGTATTATAATCTGGTCACACTTTTTCTCATTCCCTCACCCTTACCCCTGCAAAACTAAGTGGGTGCTCAGATTGGTGCCATCTAGCAAATCTCTCAACTTCTGTTGCTTAACAGAGTTCAATGTTTTATGTATTACTTAGTATTTCCTTCTTTGGACTTGCCTTATAAAATTCCAATGCTTCGCATCAAAATACTCACCTGAGAGAAAATTGCCATTGGCATAAGGTTTAAAAATATATACTTCCTGCATGGAAGAATTATCTAGAAAACTTAAATCTGTGGACTTTTTTGGTTTCCTTTTATTCTTTACTCCCTTGGTATTTCTAAAGACATGCCATTGCCTCTGGAATTCTTCCTTGGTTAGAAGGAATACAATAAAAACACAATATAAAAGTAAATAGGAATACAATATTAACATGTTTTCTGTTAGCATCTGCCTCTCCTTCTGTTATATGTCAAACCATGTATCTTCTAGGGCTTCAACTGTTGAGTCTCGCCACTCTCCTTAAAGGCTCATTACATATGCTCTTTAGACATTTTGACATCACATTGGCCAGAATTTTTGCTCCTATTTGACACTTGAGATGTTCTGCAGCTTTCAGTGTCCTTCTTGAATTTGGTCCATGTAAGCTTCATGGTTTGTACAAAGAATGGGGGACTTTCTATTTGCTTGCTTATTTGGTTACATCTGGTATTATCCTCTATGTTTCACCATTTTTATTGTTGTCTTTGTGTCTTGAAAGAGGAAAGAGAAGCAATGATACCTTTGATTTCCTCCTTCCTTTTTAACCAGAAGTCATAACATCACATTTTCATTGCATCTGAATTCACCTTCCCTAGCTAATGAGCTTCATAGAAAAATTCACAGACTAAGTAATCAGAGAGGTGCAGCTTCATTCATTTCTCTGTTATTTTTTTCTTGCCTGCTGACATTTTGTAGTCAGGATTTACATATTCAAAATCTTCCCTGCTATTATGAGACCCTTCCCATTTTACAGTCACTAGCCTTAAGTACCTGTTATATTTATTTCTCCCGTCTCTTTTCTCCCTTCATCTCGCTCTTTCCCCCTAATATTAAGAAGAATCCTGGCCAATAGTCTCCAGAAATCTCCTTATATTTTTCCACTGTTTCTCTCTTACTCTTTCACTTGACTTTTTGTACCTACTTATCCAATTTCTACCGGATTTCTCACTCTAATATTCACAAATTCATTTTGAGGCAAAAACTGGCCAATGGCTTCTTCCTTGATTCCATTAATTGCAAATTCGTATTCACAGAGAATATGAATTTGGCTTTTTATATACTTTTAACCTGTTAAATAACAAAAATTTAACCTAGTGATGTTAGGGATCAGATTTGGTTTATTCAGTGATTCATGAATTGGACAGCATCCCATCTAGCAAATAAAAGAAACCCACAGAGCTATAGACAAGGGAAGGTTTTTTAAAGGCAGAAAGGGGGTGGAAAAGGAAATTATTAGGAAAGAATGTGTTTTTTCAGGCAAGATTGCTCTCCTAAGGGGAACAGAAGGGACTATGGGCTGGATTATCTCACTAATGCTAACCTATCCATGCCATGTTACCTGGTTAAAAGTTATGTTCCTGGCAAGCTGAAACTGCAGCCAGCGTAAGTATTAAATCGTGGTTTGCTGACATGGGGCCTAGTACAAATAAGGCCATTTTGAGTCTGTTGTCTCTTTTTTAACACACCCAAAATATTTTCTTCATCAAACGTATAATTTTATAATTTTTTGGCTTTCCTTTCCCCAAGGCTCTTTCCCAGCTCTCTTTC